CAGGAGCGTCGTCTTGCTCCCATTTCAGTACCTGTACCCAGTGCCAGGGAGAAGCCATTGCAGACAGGCAATTACGGCTAAGCCCTGGGACGAAGCACCCTTGATACCGATCAACTATTTAAAGAACGTAAGAGGTACTAAACGCGCACGCGCAATAAGCAGACTTAAGACCGAACACATTTCAAGACCAGGTCATGGTCGAATTCGGTCGCACTGTCAGCGGCTTCAGAAGCCACACCAGACAACCTATGGCTAAAGCATTCTCTCTCCACTGTAAAGAGGGGCTGCCAAGTACAAATCAAACATTTTAAGCCTTCCACTCCTTTTTCTGTCCCCTTCCCAAGTAGCTTTATGCACAGACGCACAGCTGATCCATTCTCGAGCCAAAAATCCTCTTTTCCCTTCCTTGCTCTTCCTTCCCCAGCTTCCCTTGAAGCAGAGAGCTGCTGTGAAAAGTTCCAGGCCAAAGAGGCGAACTCTGGTAGCAGCAGAGCTGAAGAGAGGCCTCTGACAGCCCACACCCACCCGCGGAGAAGGGACCCCTGGGTTCAGGCTGGAAACTGCTATGGGAAGAACCTGCACTGTGCGATCTCACTCTGGCCAGAGACTCGCTGAGCCGGACAAAACAAGGCCTACGAGCTGATAGCGCCACTGTGACGAGCAGCTACAAAGGCTACCATATCCCAGTCTGATCAGGCTTCGGAGACACAGTTTGACTTGGGAGTTTTGTTGGTTTTTACCTCAGGAGAAAGAGCTCGAAGATGTTTGTTAACTGCTGCACGGACCATCACACAGATATTACCAAAGTTTTCCTGCTATATTTAGGAGCAAGCTTTTCCACTCCTGCTCATCCTACCTGATCCACCTGTTTGTCTGTCCTGAGAATTCAAACTGATGACTAACACTACTGAAATCACAAGTTGAGCAAGATGCTAATAAACACTTTAAAAATCAAGTAACAGCAAGTTAGTGAAGCCAAACTAGTCCTTCAAACACAGAGAGAAGTCATAGATAACTTCTTTTACACTCAATGCTGCGGAGCAATCCAAGCAGAATGGCAATTCTATTTAAACATATGGGGGGAGGGGCAGCTTGTAAGAGTAGTTTTCACTGGGAAATATGACATTAGCAAGAATCAAAAAAATAATAATAAAAAGGCTGAGTCAGAAAGATATGAAAGCTTGGGACCAAAGTGACAGTATTGCGTATCACAAGAGTAAATGCGATTTTCAGGTGAGAGAAGACAGAGAAAAGAAGGACAGAAAGAAGAAACAGAAAATGAGTTAACATCTCATAGTGGGGAGAGAGGGGGGAAAAGAGGATGCTCACTTAAGCTTACAATGCTTCCAACATAACCACAAGTAGTAATTCCAACGAAAGCCCGGGGATCCATTTGTTTCATCAGTAGTACTGAAAATGCAAGAGGATTTAGTTTAAACTAGAAAACCATTTTAATTTGTTGCTTCACGTTGAGTCATAGGAGCAAAAGAGCTCAAAGCAGCTTCCAAATACAAGGCTCTTGTGTACAAATGGGGCAGAAAAAGCTGCTGGCTCTGCTTATGCCTGGGCACGCCACTCCTGCTGCCGCCTGAACACTGGCGGCGTCAGAGCAGATGCGCTGAGGCGAGTCTACAGGCTTCCTGCGCCTGTCACTGAAGATACTGAGCCAGTTCTAAGCCAGGGAAAAAAAAAACAGAGTCAGGAGTACTCATCTGAAACCAGAATAAAGTTTGCAGCAGAAAGTCACAGCAGACTGTAGTAGCTCAGAGTAGGGTGTAAGACACACACGGGAAGGGTGCGAGCATGCACAAATCCAGAGTTAAACCAGACCTGAAGGAATTAAAAAACCCCACAAAACTAATCCTGCGCCACTTAATAATTTTTGAAGTGTTTACAAATAGCTAATACTATCAGGTAACAGGATGTCAAAGCAGCAAGGCTACACTTATCAGCTATGACCCTTCCATGAATCATGCCCAGGGAAGTTATCTACGTTCCAACAGCAACTGAAATAGTAATGAGCTCGTAAGGTTTACAGCAAACAGGGTATAGAGAAAACAACCTAAGTACTTTGTCTTACAGGTTTTAATTCTACACTGCGTGCAAACACACGCATGCTTCACAATGAGAATACTCACTCTGGGCACTAGCTGTGAATACATATGGTTCCCTGAAATTAACGTAACAGAAACCCATTAAATTAACCCACCTCCAGCAGCAGAATACCTTTCATCATTTGCTCCAAGCACCTAGAACACCTCCAGAGTTTGGAACAGCCAAGAGCAGCAGGGGTTGAAACCTAGCAAAGGTTCAAGACACCTACAACTTTCGAGAATGAGGTTTTGGAACTTGATTTTATATTTTATTTCAAAGATACAGCCTGATGATCATCAAGAAAACACTGGGGATACATCACGTTTTCCACAACGACTTCATGGAATTATCATAAGGAATAACTATAAGTAATTTCTGCTCACATTCATACCTTAGAATTTAGGAAGCTATAACTAAACACAACAGCAATCCTGTTTCACAAAGAGATCCCACACAAGTTTAAAAAATAAGAAGAGGGATATGCAGATGTGGGAAGATTAAAGGTGGGATCTACCATTTACTATGGGGGACTCCTCAGCTACTCTGCTGACTCAGGAAACAGCACAAGCCATACAAGGAAAATACTTCCAAGGAGTTCTTCAGTCCTCTTTAATGTTTGGACTAAGCCAGAGCCTGAATTTTGGCAGACTGTACATGTTTCAATTATTTCAGCCGGCTATACAGGCTCTGACATCAAAGTAACCATGTAACAGGTAAACCACGCAACATGCAAACGTTCTCTCAGCAAGGTAGAGGAGGAGAAAAAACCCTACAGTAAAAGCTCTCAGGAACCGATTTTAACTGATCACAGTGGCCGGCGGTTGGACTGCATCACCTCCGAACTCCCTTCCAGCTTTAATACCCTTCTTCCCAATATCCACTCCTGGCGACATACGGTATCAACACGCAATTGCGTTAATTACTTGGCAAACAGAGGAGTTTCCCAAGACTTATCAGGTACTAAACAAACTGGCTCTCATCCACCTACTGCATTTAACAGTAACGGTAGCAGAATAAAACCCACCAGCGACTGCAAGCATAGCCATACCTAGCTGTTTACCCAAAAAAACCCGAACACAAAACCATCAGATACACTGTTGGCAAGTGATTTTGTATTTTCAAGGCTAAACCTTTCAAAAGGCTTCAAAAAAATTGAAAGAGAAGAAGAAACCACGTTACTTCCTGCCCACTTCACGGGTGTTCTTTTAGACCGTCGATACTAAGCTCTAAGCTCCTCGGGAGGCTCAGAAGGGTCTGCAGCAGAACGAATACCTGGCACTGAAACCCGCTGCTTCTCTTTCTTTGGAGCGAAACGCGCAAACGTGCAAACCGCTTACTTCGCGACGGAGAAGGCAGCTCGGCGGCGGGGGAAGGGAGCAGGAGGGGCCGAGGTGCGGGGCTGGAAGCGGTGCGGCGGCTGCTCTCAGCCCAGCTCGCCTGGCTGCCCGGGCAGGG